CAAAGTTCATTACTGGCTTCAGGTTCCGATGGGTCAACAGAGATTGTCTTCGGTACCCCCTTGATAGTGTATGGGATTTCGACTAGGAAGTCTGCGAGGGCCTGGGCCTTGATGCTAGTCTGGGGGTGATAATTGATATTGTGCTCGCCTAATTCTATGGCCCACTTGGCCAGGCACCCATAATTTTCCGGCCTTAGCAGAACTTTCTTTATCGGATAACTGGTTAGGACATCCACCTTGTGGGCTTGAAAATATCGATGTAGCCGCCTGACAGCGTATACCAAGGTGAGGACCAGTTTCTCTAAGGCCGGGTAATTGACCTCTGGCCCTACTCACAAAGTGGATAGGGACATGCTTGCCTTCCCTTTCCACTGCCAACACGGAGGATATATCTTCTTCTGAAGCGGCTAAATACATCTGTAGTGTCTCCCCTGGTAACGGGTAGGCGAGAGCCGGTAGTTGGTGTAAGGCATCTTTCAGTCGTTTCAATGCTTCGTCTGCTTTTTCTGTCCATTTGAACAACTTTTTATCTAAGCACCCTTTGAGGGTTTGGCACAGAGGAAGTGCCTTTTCTACCGATTTGGTGATGAATCTTTCCAATGCCGTCAGCCTACCGTTGATCTCTTGTACACCCTTGAGGTTGTGGGGAGTTTTTGACTCGAGGAACTATTGGATTTTGGTGGGATTGGGCAGGATCCCTTCCTTGGATATCTGATATCCAAGGAATTGACCTTCTTCTACACCGAAGGTACACTTAGCTGGGTTTAACCTCATCTGCGCTTTAGCTAGTGTTTTAAAAGTTTCTTCCACATCATGCAGTAGAGTTTCTTCGCTACGACTTTTGATTACCATATCATCAACATAGACCTCGATATTTATGCCGATTTGATCAACGAATATCTTGTCCATTAGTCTCTGATATGTAGCTCCCGCGTTTTTGAGTCCAAATGACATTTTCTGATAGCAGAAAGTGCCCTTCTCGGTATGGAAGGCTGTTTTCGCCTCCTCCTCTCGTTTCATCTGTACCTGATGATAACCTTTGTACGCGTCGAGGAAACATTTAAACTGAAAACCTTCAAGTGATTGGACTTTCTGATCGATCTCCAAGAGAGGATAACAATCCTTTGGACAAGCGTTATTAAGATCTGAGTAATCAATGCACATTCTCCATGATCTATTGGCTTTCTTTACCATAACATGATTTGCTATCCATGTCGGACACATTACTTCCCTGAGTATGCCGACACTTACTAGGTCGACGACTTCTGCATTTATAGCCTTGTTCCGATCTTCCGCCTGGCCCCTCTTCTTTTGTATAACAGGATTGCTTCCAGGCTTGATATTGAGACTGTGTTCTATAACCTGTCGATCTACACCTGTCAGATCTGTTGGTTTCCAGGCGAAAAAGGTGGAATATTGCTTCAGAAGCGCTACCAGTCGTGCCTTGGTCTCGCCTGACAGGTGAGCGCCTATTCGCACGGGCTGCTCTGGATATTCCACGTTGATCTGGTGCTCTTCGGTGGAACATCCCTCTTTCGACTTCTTTGGTGCTCGCACCAACTCGGGAGCGGCTATGATCTAGTGGCAGTGCTGCACCCTGGTGTTTGTGGCGATGATTGTCGCTGATCCCTGGCGCGTGCTAAATTTAACTATGACGTGTATCGTTGATGGCATGAACTGTAATAGGGAGATTACCGACCGGCCAAGCAGAATATTGTGTTCTGCTGGAAACTGGATCACAGAGAATTCAATTGTTCTTGTGATTCTATCCCTCTCGTCATGACTAACCAACGTTAGGGGTAGTCGGATAGTGCCCAATGGCCACAAACTATGTCTGGTGAACCCTACTAGCGGTCCTCCGGTTGGGGGCCTTAGCCCCTCCTTCCATGCCTCTGGTAGTTGCCTGAAACAATGCTCATAGAGTATGTCGGAGCAACTACCATTGTCAATGTGTAGTCGATGGATTTTCGTGTGACGAATGAATCCACATATGAGGAGTGGGTCTCGCGGATCCCAGTTCAATGGTTTGGGTTCACTGCTCGAAAAACTAATATTGAGTAGATTTCTCGAGAGTACCTCTATCTCGTCCTCTGCTTAGTGAGTTGCGTTTCTCTTACGAGACTTAGAGATAGTGAGTACCTCGGTACTGTCATATGGAGGTTCCTGCAGCAGATCGGGATACAGTATCGCCATCTGAGGCAGCGAACCTTCCAACAACAGTTGCCGAGAACTGCTTTGGAATATTGCTTCAGAAGCGCTACCAGTCGTGCCTTGGTCTCGCCTGACAGGTGAGCGCCTATTCGCACGGGCTGCTCTGGATATTCCACGTTGATCTGGTGCTCTTCGGTGGAACATCCCTCTTTCGACTTCTTTGGTGCTCGCACCAACTCGGGAGCGGCTATGATCTAGTGGCAGTGCTGCACCCTGGTGTTTGTGGCGATGATTGTCGCTGATCCCTGGCGCGTGCTAAATTTAACTATGACGTGTATCGTTGATGGCATGAACTGTAATAGGGAGATTACCGACCGGCCAAGCAGAATATTGTGTTCTGCTGGAAACTGGATCACAGAGAATTCAATTGTTCTTGTGATTCTATCCCTCTCGTCATGACTAACCAACGTTAGGGGTAGTCGGATAGTGCCCAATGGCCACAAACTATGTCTGGTGAACCCTACTAGTGGTCCTCCGGTTGGGGGCCTTAGCCCCTCCTTCCATGCCTCTGGTAGTTGCCTGAAACAATGCTCATAGAGTATGTCGGAGCAACTACCATTGTCAATGTGTAGTCGATGGATTTTCGTGTGACGAATGAATCCACATATGAGGAGTGGGTCTCGCGGATCCCAGTTCAATGGTTTGGGTTCACTGCTCGAAAAACTAATATTGAGTAGATTTCTCGAGAGTACCTCTATCTCGTCCTCTGTTTAGTGAGTTGCGTTTCTCTTACGAGACTTAGAGATAGTGAGTACCTCGGTACTGTCATATGGAGGTTCCTGCAGCAGATCGGGATACAGTATCGCCATCTGAGGCAGCGAACCTTCCAACAACAGTTGCCGAGAACTGCTTTGGAGTACTGGCTCTGTTATTTCTGCCGTAATCGGTGGGATCTATGCCATTAGCACTTGGATTGGGGCCTGTGTTCTATACTCGCGGTGGTGGTCGTTATTTACCGACGCAGAGAACCAACGTCGTTTATTTGCTGTATCACTTTGAAGATACGTCCGGATGGCGCCAAATGTTGTGACATGCTCATCAGGGGATTGATTGCTCGTAGACGGGTTTGTCTTGGTGCTTTTCCTGCGAACACAACACAAAATAATCGTTAAAGGATGAACGGGGGTTCTCCCGGGACGTCACTCTGACGATCAAGTTAGTTCTCACTTAAAGAGAATTTCAGGGTAAATTGTATGGAGAAGAAGATGGATCCCTTCCTTGGGCAGGAAGAGATCATTTTATACCTATTTCTAACGGAATGAAATGATTCTCTTATGTGAGATTGAGACGTCACTCCACGATAACTAACTGCCGGGTGACGTCAGTTCTGGGCGTCACCAGGCTCCTTGTCATGACTTGATTGGTCTTGAGAGAATGAGAAGATTATGAAGAATATTCTTTCCTCATGAGGGGGAGCGGGCTACCAGCTCAACGCTGGCCTATTTGAGCCAAGACCGGGTCCCGACCATGGTCCTGGCTAGATAACGCCCCGTTAGTGCTTTCCGTTACGTTTAAAGTGGCCGCATACGGTAACGTTAACAGAGACAAACATGGCGCCAAGCATAAAAGGGCCTAATATCTTTATTATGCTAACATGGAGAATGGGGTTAACAAATGTTACTGGCTAAGTACATGAACTGAATGAACAAATTCAAGGTTGATCCCATAAATGGAAGGAGAATTTGGCCCATGTCATCTTGCCAACAAACATGTATGTTGGTATATGTATGTTGGTATAACGATAAGCAAAAACTAGATATGCATTTCTTCAACAATTTCTTACCTTATTTAATTTTACTGGTGGGTAGGCTAGAGGAAAAAAGGTTGATATTAGCCTAACAACCATGGAAAGAGTCTAAGAAGGAAATATTTGATTGTCATGTGCAACAAGTGCTACAACAAACGGCATAGCTCCAGGAGCTGCAAGGGCCAAGGTGGGTGTGATGAAGTTGCAAGGCAAGAAGAAAAGAAAAGGTACATACCTGCAATTTAGTTTGTTTATGTTTATTTAATTCTGTTAGGCGATTGCTTTGGTTGATGACTCAACTTTCTAGTAATACGGTATGTTGGTTTGGACACTAGGCCATTGTAATAACTGATAATATTCAAACAATTGGTTTTGATGGTGTAGTTTGTTAGGTGCCATTATGGTTGTTTCAGTTGTCCATTATAGTAATATGGCATGTTAGGTTGGCCAAAATTAGACGTTATTATGCTCAAGGACCAATCACGTAATTAATTGAAACCACAAGAATAGTGGTGAGACGTTTCCTATAGTTGTCCACAAAATAAAATATTTTGAAAACCAGATAGACAAACTCTGAAATTTTGTCTTAGATTAATAAAAAACATATAACGTAATTGTACAAATGAATAAAAAAAAAGATTATTATAAAAATTAGCATGGAAATAGAATACATGTCAATGCAAAAATAAGCTTCCAACTATGTGCTAACGGCTTACAGCAAATAAACGTGTTTCTTGAAGATTGTAGATCAATTTTTCAAAAGAAACAATTATTAATGAGGAAACCCAAAAAAAGATTCTACGCTATTGCATCAACCACAATATTTTTGACGTCATCAACTGAACAAAATCATTGAATGATTCAAGAACATTAATACATGCCTAACCCCTTTTCATTCATACAAAGCAATAAAACAAAGAACCCAGTATATTCATCCATACACATATATATAATATATACATGAAAACTGATAAAATTCACATGATAGGAACCAGTATTCATGGAGATGTATCTCAAATTAGCAAAGAATGGAAGAAAAACATTACCCATAAACAACATGGGTATACTTATCTTTAAGCCATCTGAAGCTCTTCCTAAAGGACCCTTTGAGTTTTCCTTCAACAGAGTAGACTTTGTATCCTGCAACCCTCTTCTTCCTCTGAAACTCAGGATCACTAAAACTCCATGATTTTGTAGCGGATCCATTTGTGGATTTCCCTTTCTTCAGCTTGAAATCATTTCCAGCGCCTGAAACAACGATATCCATGTTCGTTTGTGGGATTTTGTAGGAAGAGGCATATGAAACGCTGTAAGATCTGAAATCGCGGGGTGGGTGGTGTTCGAAATCGGGCATTTTTGAGCCAAATCCACCATTGTATCTCTCTAATTGCATGTCTCGATCACTGTAGTTGTATGACTTTGATTTGAAATCATCCATGGGTGTGGTGGAGTTGGGAGAGATGAAGAGAGAAATGGGAAACTGTGAGGTGGGAATTTGAATTTTGATGGGAAAAAGTAAAGACAGGAGGCTGAGGAAGTCGTATTGTGAGGGCTTGTAAATGGTCAACACGAAGCTTCCATCACACAGCTCAACATTTGACATAAATTTAATGTATTGATGGGAATATGAGTCATTCCTGTTGTATTTTCTACTTAAAAATTGCAATTTTTTTTTATTTTCGGATTTTGATAATTAATTTTTTTTTCCGGTCTAACATTTTGATTGTTTAGGTTTGATTGCGGAGTTATTCAATAATATGGTTCATGGTTGTCAAAATCGCGATCCTAATCGTAGGATCGTAGGTATGAAAAACAATCCGGATCGTAAACGGATCGTATTTAGGGTAGGATCGTAAGATCGTAGGATCGAGATCCGATCCGATCCTACCTTCCCTTGATTTTTTTTTTCTTGCAAATGAATTTTTTTTACCACTTTATGTCATTTATCTTTTATCAATTACCATTTATCATTTTGTGTTGTGACTTATGATTAATATTTTGAAGTTTTTATAAATTTTGAACGAAAAATTGAATGTTTGAAATATTTTTCATAATTAAAAATTAAAAATTAAAATTATATTTTATTTTGTGGGATCTTAAGATCCCAATCCCGATCTTGCAAACCAAAAAACGATCCTACGTAGGATCCCGATCTTGACAACCTTGATATGGTTATATATTGTGAGAACATTTATTTATTATTATTATTATTATTATTATTATTATTATTATTATTTTGCAATCTATTGTTTTGACTATTAACTATCTCACCAATAACCTTGACAAGCTTAGATTCTTCATCTAGCACGATGGTCAATTCTCTATGGACTTAATGCGACATTTTCTAGACTCCAAACTATAACCTTATATTGGTCCATCGATCAATTGGATCAACACCATCCCTATTAAGGTCTCTTGCTTTATATGGCATACAAAACTTGATGGTATTCATGTGGCAGATAAACTCTAAGAGTCTAGAGTCCAGAGATGTTCAATTACCATCCTCAATTTGCCCGCTTTGCAATACTTTCACAAAAACCGTTGATCATCTCTTGGTTGAATGTAATTTTGCTAGTCTGTGTCGGTTCTCGATATTCAAATAGTGTAATGTAGAGGATCCAAATGTATTTATAATTCCGGAGCTTCTTGATTTTGTAGGTAAATGAGAGAATTGTCCCAAAAAGAGATTGAAGTTCATCACCATTGTTCACTGTCTAATTTGGTGTATTTGGAAGGCGCGTAACAAGAAGCTATTCAACAATGTATCTCCTTTTCCTACCATGTTGGTTGATAACATCATTTCCCTATCTTTCTCTTGGTGCAAGCACATGGATAATCTAGGCGAACTTACATGGTTGAGTTGGAGTATTTCTGCTCTTTAATGGTAATAGTGTGGTGTTTTAATGGGCTATTGTCTGTTCTCCTTTCCCCTTTTTGTATTTGTACATTCTCTGTCCATGTTTTAGTTTCTTACCAATTCATGGTGCATTATTAATGCATTTGCTGTTTAAAACAAAAAACTATAACCGTTAAGAACTGCATACATCATGAAGTATTATGACCCATGAGTCATTTGAGCACTACTATTTTTTCCAATGATCCCAACTGCATATTCACGACTAATGACCGCGAATACAATAAATTCTTGCAAATTGTTGTCAATAAAAGATTGACATGTTTTTTTTTCTTCATATAACATGAGTTCATCTAAGCAAGTTATAATAATGTCATCTAAGCAAGTTACAATAATGTTGAAGATGGTATTTGACATTGTGAAGAGAAGGTTCTATTATTAAACTTATCTTAACCCATTTTCTACAGTCGCTCTAGAACATCCAGATTTCTATCATGGTGGACCACTAATATATATTATTCCTGATTCGAAGAATGACGACGCCAGAGATACCAATGGAAGGGATCTGAAAAAGAGTTGCATACATAATGGACATGTTACTTTCTCGTAGTAGAGCGGGAATAGAAAAGCTGGAACGTGTAACATATACTAAGAAAAAAAATTAAAGTGTTTGAAAAGCGGATTAGCAGTGCTGATGCATAGAGTGAGTGATTCCACCTTATTTCCTGTTCCTTGTCTGGTTGTGGATTTAGGGCAGAGTCACTCAGTCGATTGTCTTTCCAATCTTAATTATACATGACTTGTATACCCCAAACGATTATAGAAGGACCTAGTAGGGATTATATTATGAAAGTTAATTATTTTCAATTATCAGAACACTCGTACTGCCAGTACTCGCTAAATACGGTACAAATATTCATAGTAATAATAACAAGGATAAAACAAAGAACACTAAAGACATAAACATAGAAAGTACTACCACTCTAACAAAGACATCTTCCTAATAGACTTAACAACCATTATGATAAGAAGTTCCGATGTCGTCCTTAGAAATGGATTGGCTTGGTCCTGACCATACCAATTTCCTGTGCCACGTAAAGACCCTTCGCCTTAAACGACCGACTAACGAAACTCTCGTCGCTCATAACGACAAACCAGATACGAACCTCATAATCGTCTCTCGTTTCAAACCTCCGTAGTACTCATGCGAGGGGTACTATATCCTTCTATACCTTCCCGAAGTATTCCCAGCAGACCTTTTGGGAATACCACATATGCAGCAAGTCAAGTTCAAAGCATAAGGCTAGGGACAAATACGGTTAACCAATCACTGTTAAGTGTGTACGTGAGGGTGGTATATAATTAAGATTCTATGGACCTAGGATGTGTGCTTCCGCCCTATCTCCCGTTCCTTGTCTGGTTGTGGACTTGGGGCAGAGTCACCCATCCGACCATCTTGTCAATTTTAATTATATACGACTTGTATACATGAGGCGATGATAGATGAACCAGGTATGAGTCCTACCATGAACTTCAGACAAAAACTGCCCAGGACTACGAGCGTACATGCTACCATACGAATGAACATAGACAAGTAAGTCAAACCCACACACTTTCTACCGATCAGAACAACAGACCCAACAGTGAAGATCCGCTGGAACGTCAAGCGAGGATCTGAATTCACTGGAGAACGAGAAGATCAGATAGAACCGAAGTACCTACCTCTTTCCTAGTTCCTAGTAGCCACTCGGAATTTGAATTTCGGGACGAAATTTCCTCTAACGGGGGCATAATGTCACAACTGGGAAATTTTAGACCCAGCAAGGTCGAAACCCTAACCTAGTACAAGTGAAACCACATTGGAACTTTGATGCAGTATGTCATCTATCACTATGAAGGCATGTTTATAAGTTTATAACTAAGCATGGACTTAAACCTAAGTTAAATTATATTAGTATAAATTAATATAATTCAAAAGATTTAACTTAGAACTAAGAAATATCCCCCACAAATGGAGTTCACGGTCCAAAGTAATTAAGGGAAAGGTGTTTACGGATAAGAATTCATTTCAAAGTGGTGTTTTCGGATTTGGAATAAAGGCCATTAAGTGTTTACGGTTTGAAATAAAAATCAAAAGTAGTTCATGGCCAAACAATCTAAACCTAGTGTGTTCACGGTTGGCCTTGAACCGAAAACACCCTTTCTAGAAGCTTTAAATTCGAAAACCCTTTATACTTTGACCAAAATCCGAAAACTCATTTCCTTTGGACCTTAAGAACGAAAACACACCTTCTAGAACATATGATGTCCGAAAACCCTCTTTATATATATGAAATTCATCCGTAAACACTCCTAAATTTGTTATATCTTATCCAAAGTTAGCTTCCCAATGTGATTACCTCCGTAAACTTCACATTCACCGCCTCAAGAGTTTCCTTCATACTTAAGATACATAATAGAGATCATTTATTAAATTTCTCACATTCAGTAAACTATTTCCTCATAATTCTCTCTCAAAACTCAACTTCATTCTTTGCAAATTTGAAGATCAACATCTCCTGGAGTCATATTTTCTTCAAACCAAATTCCCTTAAGACATCATAGTAAGTATTATTCATATTATTTAGTGTTTATGAAACACTTATGTTATAAAGATCATCTTATTCACACACTATTGTGTGTTTAAAAACATTAGGATCATGACATCTTTCCTGTATTATAGCCCGAAGGTCACCACTTTCATCTCGAAATCTAGTCAAAACCGCACATAAGGTGAGTTCATACCCCTACGTTTTCACGATTTTTAATGGTTTTAAGAGGGGGGGGGGGAATACAAGTAAAACACAAGAAATCTTGTGTTTACAAATATAAATTGTTTATTTATTTTGTTACCGTAATATACCGTTAAACGTGAAATTTACTAAATTTGCAAAATATTGTTACTATTGAATTTACAAACAATTTATCAAAAACATGTTGAGACGCAACGATTTTCACACCAACACGGAAAAACAAACTTATAAACTATAATAGGTATAGTTTGTTGGATAAGGTGTCTAAGTCCATAACTATTTCTGGTATGTACTTGACCCGGTTAGCATGGTCCATTTGGGTTGCATGACATTGCAATACTTGGATAGACCAAAATGAGAGAAAGGACACTTAAGGATTATTAATATATTATAAGTTCTAATATATTAATAATATTATTTAATTAGTATTGATCAAAGAATTAATTTGGAATTAATTAAGTGATCAAAAAGAGACTAATTAAATATATAGGGTTGATTGTGTAAATCATCTATTCTTGTATAGTGGGCTAATGATCCATGGTTTGTATAGATTGGGTTAAAACCCATAAGGTGCTCCATGGATAGTCCATGGAGGTTACAAACCCATGGATCATGGAATATGGAAAGCCATGACAATTAGGGTTTACATGGTGTAACCCTACTTGTGCCACAACTATATAAAGAACCTTATGCAAGCAAAATCGGGCACTACTTGTACAAGTGAGAGGGCAATCCAATTTTGAGGCTAAGTGAACTTCTCTCAAGGTTATTCCAAGTGTTGTAGTGTTGTGTGAGACATTTGAGGCATCACACTTGAGGTGCTAGGCTCACAAGGTTCTCAAGGAATCCAAACTACAAAAGGTATGTTCTTCTTCTAGCATTTATGTTTAAAAGTTCCCCATGCTATGCTAGATAGGTTAAGAACCTTGGAAAATCAATTTTGCATGTATCTTAGTA